GCGAGTATACCAACTGCATACATTTACCTCATAGCCTATCAGGCTGAAACTAAAGGTTTGCTGGCCACCATTGCAACGGGCAGTTAGTCTGTTGTGCCAATAGTCCCTCACAGTGGTGCTTGATACTAAGGCAGCAGCTTCACAAGATGAGCCCTTCTGCTGTTATTGTAGCCATGTAGCCTTCAATAGGCAGATTTACATCTGAGCCACCAGGTGACTGCACTAGTTGCAGAGATAGGGAAAGCAGCAGCAGGCTACTCTGGAGCCAGAACAACCAAAAAAAGAAAAACTACAATATATATATATATATATTTGCAACATTTCTACTTTGAGTTTGCCTTTTAAATGTTGCCTTGAATGTACTGTTTGATTGCGTTTTAAAGGTTTTATCAGTCACATAGACTATGACAGACTATAAGTTATAATCAAATATGATGCATACAAATTTAAAAGCCTGCCTGATTAAAATTGAATTACATTCACACAGCTTTGTAAAAAAAAAACCTAGCCGATTAAGTACAGTACGTCAAGCATTAGAGCAAGTGTTAAGCATTGTGGAAAACAGAACAAAAAAAAGCTGCACAATATTGTACTTATCCACGTGCAGCCATGCTGACCACAGAAAATCTTTGAGCCTCCTGCAAACCCTACAAGGAGGGCTGCTGCTGGTGTAGAGCTCATTTGGAGAGCTGTCTTTTAGCACACTATTTATTGTGATGGCAGACCCCGTGCAGTTAGGCGGGCCTTTTTCTTCATCAGCCTTTCTGTTGCTGGCATCCTCGTTTGATCAGGCGTGTTTGCCACGCATGATCTGCACCAGTTTGAAGTGTGGTCAATTGGCACAGCGCTGTGCATTTTCTTTTCTTTTTTTTCCTGAGGAATTGTCAAGAATTCACTGCAAGTATAGTGAGAGTATAGCAAGACAGAATGACAGCGAATGTCCCCCCCATGGTGATTGACCATAACACAGCTATATTCCATCTTCTTAATTCTCACGAGGCTTGTTAGAGGTGTCAATACTGCAAATTGTGAAATAAAAACACATTAAATTGCTCGGCCTTTGAGAAGCAATAAATAAAGGATTTTGCGAGGCTTTGAGCAATTCTGCGAGGCTTTGAGCAATTCTGCGACACTTGAAGGTCTCAGTGATTTTACAGTTTTTGATTGTTGTGTTGCATATTTTAATGAAAATGCATTTGGGGGCGGGGGGGGTTGTGGTACACCAACTCAGTGACTCAAAGAAAGCAAGCCGTGATCTGGAGAAGAAGAAAAAGAATGACGCAAGCAAAACGCAGAGCCGTTTTGTTCTTTAGCCTTATCTGTCACCAATCGTCCATAATCTGTCCCGTGCTGTAGATTAATTTAAAGATTATGGAGTGCCATACATTTGCACAATGCATGGGGGAGTGCCAAGGCACAAGAGAGAGAGAGAGAGAGATCACAAATAGCTGTCTTTCTCCTGAATATGTGTGGCGCAGCTCAGCTCCTTCCTGTACTTGTGTGTGTGCCTTATTGCGTCTTCTGTGAGCTTCCTCTGATCAGTCCCTTCTTCTGCCCGGTGACACATGAAAGCCTTTCACGGAATCAAATCAACAGCCCGAGATAATTCAGTGTGACAATGTAACAATTGTGTTACTGTGATTTTTTTTTTT